ATCCGTACAGCCTGCCAAGTTTTCGGGGAGAGACATTTAGAAATTGCTGCGTAGGCAGTTTATGGCAGGACTTTCGTGGCCTTCCTGAGGCGCGCTATCTATGGGTCTTTTACAAAAGGTCCACGGCTCCTATTTGAGAAACCTTATGGCAAAATGTGGGAGTGAAAGCGTCCTGTGGTATGGATTAGGACCATATGCTATAGGAATGCATATGTTTGTGTCAGCTGTCAGTATTACATAAGTGAAGTGCTTCGGTGCATAAATTTAGAGGGAGTGCATAACACTCAAGAAATCTTAAGGTGGCTCCTGCTGTGAAATGGGTTGTGGCCACTTCGGGCCTTGCACAGACCGATTCTAACCATTTGGTTATTTGCGTTTACTTGGCTCTTTTAGGGACAGGATTTGCAACTTCCGTCTTCATTTCAGTAATTCTGTGTACACTTGAGTGTAGTTAAGCAGCAGTTAGTCTTCAGCTAAACCTTTTCTTCCATTTTTCTGTGTTGAATGTCCATCTTTCCACGCCCAGACCTCCCTCTGCAGGACACTTAATGGTGATTTTATTTAGATATTTATTTAGGTGTTCCACTATAAAGCCTTAGTGCAGCCTGCCTTATGCCAAATGAGGAAGGAAATGAAAAAGGCAATCCTAAGTACAATCCTCAACTTGCCTATAACTGGGTGGATGGGGGGGGGGGTGGAACTCTTCATCTCAGAAGCAGAATAACTGAAACCTGAGTGTGTTTTATAAATTATGTAGGTTGAAAATAGGGTAGAGTGGCTTTGGAGCTGGGTAAGAAGAAAAGAAATTCGGGCATGTAAATGAAACGGTAATCGGTTTTAATTTTGTCTTAATCCTTCAGATGTTTTTGTTTGTCATTCGATACATTAGTATTTTTATTTCTTATTAATGTATCATAAGTGAATTAAGATGTTTGTGAGACCTAGATCATGACTGACTCAGGTGTGTACCAGCCATTTATTTTTGCAATTTGCTGCTGTTTGCATTGTATTTGTACTTTGAAAACAGTTTTTTGTAAAAAACATTGGTGTAGGTGTCTATAGTGGGGGGTTTTTTAACTACCAACCTGTGATGAATCTTATGAAAGTACAAGACATCCTCTTTTTCAAAACAGGCTTGCCATTTACATGTTCTAAAAGTTTCCTTCGTAATGCCTCCAGTTGGTATAGAGGCAACCAATGTAGTTCTGTGTAACATTATTTTTTTTATTGCTATCTTTGTTACTGAACTACTTTTCTTGCTATCACTGCTTACTGTGGAAACTTTTTTTCTCGTCCTGTGTTAGTTCATTCTTCAGAATATACTGTAAGCTTATTTTCAAAAACTCCTGCCACACATGAGTAAACAAAACTGGGTGGTTTTGTTATACTCTTAATTCTACAGCTGTGATTTACTTTTCCTTTTTTTCAGTTGTGCATGTACCTGTTTGAACACAGAATTCCTCCATATAACATCTAGCAACGGAAGCTGGTGGGTTTTGGTGAATCAGCTGAATTGTGAAACACCTGCGTACTTGCATGCTAATAAGGTTCGAAAATTGTGGCTTGAATCATAGTACTACAGAGTTACTAATATATCAGGGTTCATTGTGGTTGTTGCTAAAACTTCAAAAAGTGTCTGTTTAACGGTGATCTCTTTGTGAGAGAAGTTTTTAGTCTGATTGTACATACTTGACTTACATGTAGTAACTTATGTACCATGCAGAATGAAGAACTAAATCACAATTTTGTTGAAGAGGGTGTTTGAAGATTAAAGGTCTCTCTCTAACAGAAGACTCGTGAAGGAAATTATTCTCTTCAGTCACTTAAAAGTTTATTTAAAACAGGCTTTAACGGCATGTTTGAAGCTATGAAGTGAAGATGAGTTGGCCTATTTAATCTTGATTTGTTTCATAAGTGTTGCAGTGTTAGGATGAGAAAGCTATGTGTACTCGCCAAAAAAAATGATACTTGGAGGAAGCTGAGGAAGAAGAATGATTTGAGGAAATGGTTCTTTCTAGTTCTGTCGTATTTTATGATACTACAGTAGTTGGCTTGTATCTACAAATACTAATGTAACGCTTTTGTCTTTTACGTGTTTTTGTTAATTTGTTTTTTTTCAGTGGCAGATGCGGCATTCAAAGCAATCTCGTTGTCCTGAATGGGACGACAGAAAGAGCTGGGATCAAAGAAAGTACAGTAGCAGCCGTAAACGCAGGAAAAGGTCCCACAGCAGTGGACAAGAAAGCAAGCGCTATAAACCAGATCACGTTTCAGACAGGTATAAGACTCTGAATTGAGTAGCGCTGATGTTTCTTACCATGTCTAGAATAAATATGTTTTCAGGATAAGAGTTTTTGAGTGCCCAAAGTTGGCAATGCCTTGAGGTTTGGCTCACTTAAGACAAGCCGAAGAGGTAGTTGGTTTTGTTAACACAGTACTTGAACCGTTAAATGGAATTTCTTTAATAAAAAACAGGTAAATGCGGCTAGTTTGTTTCACTGTTATCAGTTAATTAAGTATTGAATACTTTCAATATTAAATGTCAAGTGAAAACTATGCCTTTTCATTTATGTAATCTGAACAAAAGGAAGAGAAGGTTTATTTATCATTTAATATAATGGTAAGTATGAGTTTCTCTTACTAATTTGGAGGTGGTTTGCTTTTTCTCCCACACTGCTTTCACTGGAAAGATGTGGTTTTTCTGTTGTGTGGTTTTGTTTTTTTTTTTCCCCTTGACAAGAAGATCCCATGCAATTCTTCTAAGAGCTCATACTCATGCTTACAAAACGCTGGAAGGAGTAAGTGTACAGCAATATGGGGGCTCTTTGCCTCAGTAGCTTTCTTAAAGATTTTTTTTTTTTTTCTGTGCAGAAGATCCTTGATCCAGATAGTCTCAGAGGCTTTTAATGTAGAGCACTAAGAGCAGTGCTACTTCTTTCAGTCTCCAGGTTTTATTTTTTTTACACTTTGAGATTTGAAAGCATAGAAGGGGATTATTGCTGTATTAAGAATGTTTTATCGTGTGACTTTGAAGATTGTAATTGAGTTGCTCGGTATGTTTTTAGGAAGTGTTCTCCTTTTTGAGTCTATTTACTGTGCAAACTGGATGGATTATATATTGTTTGTGCTGATGTCTTCTATGTATTTGAGACTGACACTGTTGTTAGATTCCTAATAAAGTAACATCAAAAGCTCCACTATTTTTGGGGAGTCTACTAGAACACATTCTTGGTGTAAGGACAGTTACGGTGTAACTCTGTAACTCAGCTCAAGTCACTTGTCTTGTTGGAACCTCAAGTTTTTGAAGTGGAGAACATTCACTTGAAATATATTTTCAGTCATTATTTGGACGATAGAGCCATAAATGAAAGAGACCATCATGACCGGAGATATGTTGAGGAATACAGAAATGACTTCTGTGAAGTGTATGACCACAGACATTATCACAGAGACTATGAAAAGAGTCACCATCATCACTATAGCAAATCCTCTGGTCGGAGCAGGAAAAGTAGTCATAAAAGGAAGCATAAGAGACACCATTGCTCCAGTCACCAATCGCATTCGGTATGAGTAATTTTTAACTTTATTATTAATGAATTAGTGGTAATAGGCTGCTTAAGTGAGCGCTAGAACTTCAATTCCTGGTCACAGTACTTTAAGAAATACTATAGTATTAAAGAAGGATTTGTAGTTGAGTCCATTTGCGAGCATATGAATGTATTCTTACTTGAGACTTTTGGATCGGTGTTGGGTGGGGGGTGAGATTATCATCAGTACTCGTTATACAATGGGAACGTAGGTGGCTAGTGGTTAAGATCACCGGGATTAATCTGAAAAATGTTATCTTGAAATTGAGAACAGGTAACTATCCTATTTCGAAGTACAGTTGTCACTTTCTAGTTTTACAACATAGTGCACTGTGGTTTTTCAGGTAGACTGTGAGTTGCCATACATTCTATTTCTAAAAGTGATTTAAGTGACATGTCTTTTTAGTGTAAGCTTAATTAGAACTGAGATGTACATGTCTGGTAAATTGATCAGAACAAGCTCTACAGTTCTACACCTGATTCCAGAAAACTTTGATAAGCCATGTGCCTGGTTAATGGCAGCTAATGTCTTACTGAAGATGGGATAAGTTTGCTGCTTGCCTTCTTTGAAGGCACGCTCTCTGAATTTCTCGGTGTTGGCATCATGCCCACTCATACATCTTCAGCTTCAGGTGTTTCATGTCACATTTAGGCAATAGGAAACAGCAAGTTGTATTAGATAATACAATGCAAACTAGCAACTTCAGAAAAATTTTTCTTCTCTCTCTAAACATGAGGGAAGTAAAATTAATTGCTATTTTTTTTAATGCTTAGATTATATAAAGTGTATGTTTAAAAAATAGTAACAGTTCACCTGACTGTAAGCTTAGATGTGTAAAATAAATACATTTTTTTGTTATTTGCTAGCAAAGCATTAGAAATAGTGATGTTGCATTCTTAATCTGTCTTCAGTTAAGCCACTGTTTGAGAGACAAAATTGTGTTGTTTTTTCTGTTGCTTTGTCACTTTAAGTATTTATCTGAAAATCTGTTCCTTGCCATGTTTTTCTTCTGTAACATAAACTGTGCCCTGTGAATTTCTGGGGACTGAATTTGAAATTGCTCCTGCCAACTGTTCGTGGCCTGGTGTGTAACTGAATGCCTGAATATCTCCCCGCTGAATGAATTGCGTGTTCTGCCCTGAATTCACTGTGATATATTGATTGGCTGGACGATCTTGGTGCCGTTTCCAGAAGAGTCACCGAAGGAAAAGATCCAGGAGTGTAGAGGATGATGAGGAGGGTCACCTGATCTGTGAAAGTGGAGACGTTCTGAGAGCAAGATGTATAGAACATTTTTCAACACTTTTTAAAAACTTTTCAGCAAAAAGTCTGTTTAGAATAGTATGTCAGAGGAGGGGGGCTAAAAAAATCTTCATTGCTCTTTTTGTTCTGTTTTTTTTGTGCTTTTTTGTTTTTTTGCATATCTCCTTTTCTGTAGAATTTAAATACTGTGTTCAAAAAGTTCCAATTACTAAATGAACTTGAATCTTGAGATTAGAACAAGAGATAGCTTTTTTGCTAACTGTTTTCATGACGCCTGTCCAATAAAATAATGCACTCAGATGCTGAGATTTAAAGTAATTACGCTTTTGTAATGGTGCATTTTTAAATCTACATTAATAATAATCATTATTGTTTAAGTAGTTGTATAATTCTAACTTGCATTTGTTCTTTTTAGATGAAGTTATTGCAACTTTAGGAGAAGGAGCTTTTGGAAAAGTAGTGGAGTGCATAGATCATGATATGTAAGTGTTGGTTGTCTTCGTAAGCGGATCTCGTGGCAAAAGACAGAAATTAAAGCTCAGGGATGTTTTTTTAAAATAGTCACAGTTCAAATATATTTAAGAAAGAAATGGTAGTGGTTTTGTGTGAGAGCTACCTTCTAAGCTTATTTCTCATTTAAAATTTCGAAGGATTTTCAGGTGATACCACATCTGTTCCTGATTGTTTTTGAGGTTCTTCAGTCATCTCTTCCAGTGCTGTAAATGTTTTTTGTTTCTTCTGTTGCTCCATGAAAGACCCTTGCAGGGTACTGACTTTCCAGGAGATGGTATATAGAGAAATACTTTTGGTTACTTTGTTTATCCTTTAAGTTTTTGAGAATCTGTCTTTAGCAATAAACTAACCGCGTTTGTCTTGGGAAACATCTGTCTAGAGAGGGTTTCTTTCAGAAATAAACCTTTTTATAACTAGACATATGTTTTTTTCTGTACAGGCTATGTAACTGCATGGTGCAAACTACTGATTACTAAATAGATGTCATCTGCCCTTTTTGAAGGGGGAGAACTATGATTTGCTTCATTATGTTTTTGTGTTGGTCATACAAGTGCTGTTGCCTTAACTAGGGAATGTGAGGGTATGTAAAGGGTGCAGAATTGATTTGGGAGACTGACTTTTAGAAGATGATGCGGTGAGATGCTGAGAAGGTAGTTTTGGTTCTCAGTGAAAGCAACTGCTTGGGATTGGCCAGGGTGTAAATTTCTTTCCTCAGTCTCCATAATCAGAATTACCCTTTGAACTTCTGAATGCACAGCAATCCAGCATAAAACCTTTTGTTTAATGGAGTGGTTACTTCATGTGATGGCCTGTTTGGTGGAGAAGAAAACTCCTGTATGAGTTAAGTCTGTTCAGAAGTTTGGTGTTGCAAGGGCAGACAGTATGCTTAAGTCATTAGAATCTAAATAGGTCTACAGAAGCAATTAAAAATTGTCTGTGATTGAATGGGGTAGAACGAATTACGTGTATTGGTGTTCCATTTAAGTAATAGAATGTTATACTGAGCGTAGGTCAGTTTTCACTAGTACAAAATACTCGGACTCTGAAGTTCAGAAGATGCTCGATTCACCTGATTCCATAGCAGCACTGGAAAAGAGCCAGAACAAGTTGTGCAAGTTGCAGGAAAAACTGTCAAATTTTTGCAGTACTTTCCTGAAATGAGAACTTGGCTATTCTTTTTTTAATCGCCTTGCAGGTGGATTCCTAAGGTTTATTGTACCTTAGATGAGGTAATAAGACTGAGAATTAGTTGGTGTAGCATGTACTGCGAGTATTTGATGATGTAGAGATTGGTATTACATTTCTTTATGAAAACAGTTATGGTTAAATTCAGTGTGCTGAAGTCACATTCCCCTAATCCGACTCATAATTCTCTCTTTAATCTTCCTGTGTTTTTTATTAAAATCAAGCTGCTTAGGGGTTACAATAATCTTAACAGTAAGTGATTCAGTTTATGATGTTTTACTTTCTTTTAAAGGAGAGGAATGCATGTAGCAGTTAAAATTGTGAAAAATGTTGGTAGATACCGGGAAGCAGCCCGTTCAGAAATACAGGTGTTGGAACACTTAAACACCATGGATCCAAGCAGCACTTTGTAAGTATGAAATTAGAATATTCAGCATACTAAGGATTTGCGGAAGATAATTATTCAGTAAATTGAGTTTTCATGTGTTTATATATTTCTTTTCGAAGCCGCTGTGTCCAGATGCTGGAATGGTTTGATCATCATGGCCATGTTTGCATTGTTTTTGAGCTACTGGGACTTAGTACTTATGACTTTATTAAGGAAAACAGCTTTCTGCCATTTCATATTAATGACATTAGAAATATGGCTTATCAAATTTGCCAGTCTATAAACTGTAAGTAAATCTCAATAGTCTTATTAAATGTTTTTTTTCTCCCCCCCCCATTAATGTATTAATTATGGAATACTGTTCTTTTTTCCTTGTAGTTTTACACCATAATAAACTAACTCATACAGATCTCAAGCCTGAAAATATCTTGTTTGTGGAGTCTGATTACATAGTGAAGTACAATGCCAAAATGGTAAGCTTGTTCTTTGTCTCCCAACTTGAATTGGGCTGCTTCTGTCTTCAGCTAAACTTTTATTTTAAAAAATATGAACTACAGAGGTCCAGTGGTATTCTAGACTTTTTTTTTTTCCTGTGCTCTTTGAGATGTACTAACTTTCTGCCAAGTGAGTAACTTTACTCTGATTGTAACTGTTTCATCTGATCACTAGTTCTTTGCTGTTCAGTGAAGTTCTGGCATTCGTAAGGAGCATTGTGTTAATGGCTTTGAATTTAGCCAGGTATTTTCCTTTGTATTTCTTAAGCCATTTGAATCCATTTCTTTTAAGCATCTCTGCCTTTTGAGAGGAATGTCAGATCTTGCTTTCTGTCTGATTACCCTGGAGTCTGAAGTGACTGTCAGTTTTGCAGTCCTTGGCTTAATAGCTAAGATGGGATTTTCTGTTTTTCATCAGCATATGATGTTGATCATTGGGGTAGTGTTAAAACTGGCATGTGCCCTGGACAGGACTATTCGTGACCAGTGTCTTCCTTTTAAATCTAAGAAAACACTAAGACACAATGTGAGGAGAAGGACTTGTCTGCACAAATCACTTCTAGCACTGGCAGAAATACAAGTTTTTCTTTATGTTGCTGCTCTTTTTTCAAAGTATAAAAACTTTTATTTAGAGCTGAATTTACGTAAATGAGCATATGCACCAATGGATAATAAAAATCAAGACAGAGATAACTAACTGAAGTTGACTTGAAGGTTAAAGAAAGAGGCAAGGAGCTCTGTTAGTGTGGGAAAGGTCTTTTACTCGGCTGTTTTGAGTATTCAGATTAAATCACTTTGTTATCAGCTCCTCTTTCTTGGAGCTTGAGCTGAGCAGGAATTGATGTATTTGGAAGGAGTGCTTTGTAACATAGGTTTATTTTTTAGTGTTTTATGTTAACTGTTATTTTGGAGACAAGACAATGTGATGAACACCTTTTGCCTAACTATGAAAAAACAAATTTTTCTTGCAGAAGCGAGATGAACGCACTTTAAAAAACACAGACATCAAAGTCGTTGATTTTGGAAGTGCAACTTTTGATGATGAACATCACAGCACATTAGTGTCTACAAGGCATTATAGAGCTCCTGAGGTTATTCTAGGTCAGTAAAGACTTTTAAACCTTCTGGCAGTGAATTACAGTTCATTGAGATGTCTTCATGAATTTGAGCAGTTTCTTGTGTTTCTAATAATTCAGTCATCTGTTGCAGATGGTGGTGTTAAAATTCTTGTGAGTAAACAGTAAAGAAATATTCTAAAATATTTTAGAGATACTCTAAAAACAGAAGTCTAGATGTGTTCCTCTCCCACCAAGGTTTGAGGAGAGGTATGGAGGGGAAAAATGGGCATCAGTAAATGCATGGAAACTGGGCATAGGCTTTATGGATTACAAGTTTTGGGAATATATTAAAAAGTCAAACATAAACTTTGCCTATTTTGCAGCACTGGGATGGTCGCAGCCTTGTGATGTTTGGAGTATTGGTTGTATTCTAATTGAGTATTACCTAGGATTTACAGTGTTTCAGGTATGCATTTAAATTGAACGTTTTTGTCACAGACTATTGATTTTGATATTTCAAGGACATGCACTTAACTGTTACTGTAAAAGATGTGACCTTACAGGCTTTTTTAAGTATTCTGTAGATGAGATTATAAAGACAGCCTGCATATAGGAATATGTGATGTCTTGGATACCTCCGTCAGACTATTTAAGATCATCTCTTCTGACTTTCTGGATGGTGGAGCCTGTCTAGAGTCTGAGGATACTGCTAGAATTAAGAGTAAAGAAAACATACTCATACAAAACTTGAACATCTTGTTTGTAAATGCATGTTGTTACCAAGTGGCTGAGAGTAGAAAAATCTGAAAAGTGCATTCATTGCTTTTTCCACGCAGACACATGATAGTAAGGAACACTTGGCAATGATGGAAAGAATACTAGGGCCTCTGCCAGCTCACATGATCAAGAAATCCAGGTGAGTTCATTACAGGAGGAGTAAGTTGCCTGATATTTTCCTATTATAAGAGACATCTTAACATTTCCATTGTTAGCTGTGAGCTTCTGGAAGTCAACAAAGAGACTTGCAGGCTTTTTGTTACCTGTTAGTCTGTTGCAAGAAGCTGTGTCAGATTTAGGTGAATAAAGTAGTTGATGGTAGTCCTGTCTTCTGGTTTTAGTCTTGAGTTGCCAGCAACCAAAATGCTAGCCTCTTGAACAATAACTGAGTATGAATGTTCTTAAGCCTTCAAAGCTAAGTTTGGTATGGTTGCCAGAACAGCATTAGACACCTATTTTTCTGTATGCTGTGAAAATAAAGAACCTGCTGTCATCAGAAGATTTATACTGAGAGGAAGAAGAGGGTCCTGACTTGCTGAAACAGCTGCCAGCCTCTTCCACTGTCCCTTTGCATCCCTCAGACATGTGCTTTAGTGACCTTTCTCTCTTCCTCAAAGATAACTGCATGCAGCAGGAGTTTTCCACTTGCACTGCAGGGAGAAGCAGCCAGCACAGGGTTCTTCCCTAACCCCTGTATGTCCAAAATCCAGAGCATGTGAGATTTGATGGTCTGTTGTCTTTCTGCGATAAATTGTCCTCTTGCCAGCTAATCTAGGCAATCCTGTAACTCGTGTTGTAGTAGAATTCCAGTAATTCTGGGCTGGGCAATGTATTTAGGTTATTACAGTTTTCCAGGGGATTCGTAATACATTTTGAAAAATGAGAAAAAACTTAGCTGCAGTTGGAATAGAGGACAGGTAGTATTTTAAAGATAAAATGCTACATACCCAGCAGTGTTAAAGTGATGCTGAGATATGGATTTGTCAGAAGTTTCGTTGCACTGGTAGTCTCATGTATTTGCAGTACACTTCTTAAAAGATATTTGGGAATGTCTGGTTTTGTTAAATAGTGACTACCCGGTTAAACTCTGCAGATTTTACAAGAAATGTTTTTCAAAAAGTTGAGAAATTGGCAAGCTGTCTTTTATTTGTTGCTAGCAGATGACACCAAGTTGTTCTCTTGGAACATCCTAAAGCATCCATCTCTTTAAATGTCAGTAATGGAAAATATGTCTTCAGTGGCTGCTTTTTTGATGGGAGTACTGAAGGGCCTGATTCTAAATGTTGTGACAATGGTAATATAAAAGCAACAGGTCTCTGTGAATAAGTATTAGCTAGAAGAGATGTCAGCTTCCAAATGCAGAGGGATATGCAGGAACACTTTTTATGGTGTTTCCGAACTTCTTAGAAAAGCATCTGCCCACTTTAGGCACTGGCACGATCTTAAAATAATGTTCTTTACCGTGCAGAAAGCATTATTTTCACCACGACCGATTGGACTGGGATGAACACAGCTCTGCAGGACGATATGTTAGGAGACGCTGTAAGCCTTTACAGGTAGGAGACAACGTTTTTATTACGTTTTTTTTAGATTTGGTTGTGAAAGATCTCTCTAAAATGATTTCTTTTCTTTTTTTCTTTCAGGAATTCATGCATTGCCAAGACACAGATCATGAAAATCTGTTTGACCTTGTTCGCAGAATGCTGGAATACGATCCAGTCAAAAGAATTACTCTTGATGAAGCCTTGCAGCATCCTTTTTTCCACCCATTAAGAAAATAAATGAATTCAAAGATCTTTATGCTTCTCCAGGGAGATTTCTTAGACTGTGTCAGTCAACGAGGTTGCATGAAACTTTTGTAAACCTTAAATTATTTTGTACAGTTAAGTCTGTAAATACTTACCTATGTTTTGTATAACTGTTACGTTTACCTTGTTGAACAGTTGTAGTCTTAGGGGTATCAAAGTGAAAAATAAAAGTAATTTTCATTTTTGAAAATTGTTTTCTTTTTGAAACTCTGTGCTTTTTCAGATGGGGGTAGTTGAGCATCTGACTTGAGGTGAGGAGTCTGTGGGCTAGCTGGGCATGTTTTGAAAACATTAGATGTTTTGACCTAGCTTGCTTTTATCAGTCATAATGAAAAGATTTGAAGGCTTAAGGCTACCTAATCATGCTGTATATAGTACTTTGTGATGGCATCCTGAAACGTGGTTGAAACCAGTGTATATTCTAAGTAGGTATCTCTCTTGTGGGTCACCTTTTTGCTCGATTGTCTGGTAAACAGCATGCGTTGCTCTCTGGCTGTCTAATTAGTCTCTGGAAACTTGTCTGGTGCTTTCAGTGTTAAGTACTTGCAAGTAATTTTTTTGTTAAGGTCTGAAAAGTTACATTTTCGATATTGTTTTGATTCATTGAAGATTGGCATTTTCATGGTAAGGTTTCTAGAAGGACTGTACTGCCCATGGAGAAAAAATGCACAGAAATAGTGTGTGCACAAAACTGTGGCCTGTTAAAGCCCTTCTCTTGCACTAGTGACAAGATTGTCCTGAAGTCTTTGAATACATATTTCTGTGGAACTTGGTTTGTAATTGCTGATAAATTAGGCAGCCTTGGCAACTGAGAAACACTGCCATCAGACTACAACAGAGGAAGGAGGAGGACAGGTTTCCTGAGCTGGGGTGCTGAGTTGAGAAGAAAATGGTAGTTTTCCAAGCCCCATTGATGCACTTCAGTAGTTTTTGCTCTTCGTGTTAAGGCTGATGTTTTCTTGGTTTTGTTCAATGCTGCTTTAATCCACTGGATGCAGCATGGGTGGCTTGCTGGGCAGGGGGAGGGGAAGCTTCCGCGGTGGGGTTCATCCAGGCTGTCAGTCCAGATGCGATGTACAAGTTGCTGTCCTGGCTTTACCATGCAAGCCTTTCTTCAGGAAGGAGACAGGAAATATTTTCAGCTGCGCAGGAGCAAGTCCTAATGCACAGTGCAATTTGAAACTGGTGTCCTGGTTCCACAGGTGGAAGGAGGCTTAACTTGCAAGGAGCTCCAGGTGTCCCTATCTCTGACCCGGCGTGGAATATAACTGGGACGGGTTTTGAAAGCTTATGGTCTGTAGCCAGTGCCACCTGCTGTGCTCGATGATACCTCGTTATAGACAGCCCCCCTTCCTAGGATGTTGGTGTTTACCTCATTGTTTCTTCTCTGCATGACAGAAAATCTAACAGTTGGTACCATCCGTGTCAGCGGTGACCAGGGTAGGGCTGAGGAGGACGGGAGTAATTCCCTTGCTTCTTCCCGCAGTGCTGCCATCCACACCGTCAGAGGCAAAGCAGGGACTTGGCTGAGCGTGTCACCCAAGTGATGCAAGTCAAAGGCACGTGAGGGGGGAAGTTTATATGCTGCTGTAACTTTAAAATGAACTGTAAAACAGTTCTATCAAGATTGGAAAGGGAAGTTGGTGTGCTCTTGCTTAAGGAGTACTTCCAGCCTTTGTTAGTGTAGTTACTAGAATGCAGTGCACTTGCTAAAGGAGAGACGTGCTAGAAAAAAGCTATTATAAAAACCTGTTTAAATTCACTTTCCTCCTCCCAGTGAACTTAAAAAAATGCACTGTCGCTATTGCATCTGCAGCGTGGTGCCAAGTGGTTTCGCAGGCTTTACAGCGTGTGCAAAGGTTTTGGTGTGAAGGGGCAGGAATCAGCGTCCCCGGGGGAAGCAGCGCGGAGCTGTGGGCAGCTGAGTGACGGCCGGGTGCCGGGGCTGCTGTCTGCAGTGGGGCCGATTCCTCCTGTTCTCGGGGCTGCCCTCGGTGGGTTTGTCTGTACTAGGGAAGAGGGTTTTATGCACGCACCCCCCTGTTGTTAATATATGAACATAATCTGTGTAGTTTGTAATCTTGGTGTGTTTGGATCGAGCTCATGCTAACTGCCTGTAGCTGTTGGTAAGACCCATTCGCATCTTTCTCTGCACTTGTGACTTTTAGCTATTGTACCTTAAAAATGCAGTCTGTAACTCTCTGAATTGGTCAGCCAGGTGGACCAACGGCATGCATTTCCATAACGGGTCAGTTATGCATTGCACTAAACATGGATGGTAGGAGAAAGCTGTCTCTGAAGCACGAGCAGCATCTGAGATCCAGACCTTCAGCAGCTGGGCAGGGCAGGGGGGGAGCTGAGCTGGGCGCTAAACTTCAGGGCGAGGAGGTTCAGAGTTCTGGGGCAGAGGGCTTGGCAGCTGGAGTCCTGATCAGCCCGACTTCTCGTATCTCTGTTGTAAGGGGGGCTCAGGTCCCCTGGGCAGGTTTTAGGACACAATGCTTTGCCCCTGGGCAGCTCCCCCAACGCGATGGTGCTGTCTGCGTATGAGCGGGAGAGCTTGTGAGCAAAGTCTTAGCAGGCTCAGAGAAAGGAGAGGGGGAGGAGGAGGTGAAGAAGAGGTTGCTCACGAAAACCTGAAATTTTCTCTGTTGTGTCTTCAGGCATGTGAAGGAGAGCAGGAAAGAGTTAGCAAATGCCACAGCTTTGCCTGCCTAACTGGTCTGGAACTGGTGGCTACAACAAAGCGGTGTGTGTGTCCAACGCGGCAGTGTGTTAATAACAGACTTAGTGGATACTGACACTACTCCTAGTAACGTTTTCTAACTCCGTCCTGGGCTTTTAGAAGCAAGAATGACTCCTGGAGGGGCAGGGTCTGCGGCCAGCAGGCAAAGAGCACGTTTGGATTTGTACCCTACGTGCTTGGAGTTGGGACAGGTCCCGAGCTGCCCGAGGGTGGCTTAGGGGCGA